AAGTATCCTCCAGTCTTAACCATATATGCTTAAATTAAACCAGAGTATTAAAAAGTTACTCAGACACATTTCAAGTACTCAGTAGTCACTGTGTATGGAGGCTGCTGTCAAGAGACAGACAACTGCCACCACAGCAGAAGGTTCAGAGAGCTGAGTACCTCTAAATAAGGGATTTTAGTTTTAACAGAAGAGCTGGTTTCATGAACACTGCTTTTTCAAAAAGTGATTATTATATTCAAAGACCGAAAGATGCATGTGTGTTGTCACCTACCTGCAAGAACCACTTTTGGAGATGTTTAAGACAGTCCCAGCTAGACAGCTGTTGATCTCTTTTGATAAATTCTTGGCCTTAAGGTTTATAGGTACTGGAACTCTAAAAAAGAACATAGGCATCAGAATACAGTGTATACACACCTTTATTTTCATGCTGTTAAAAAAAAAAGTCCAGTCACTGCCGAGAAACTTACTTCTTCCTTTGGTAGAAATGTCTTCCTATGTGTGAGGGCAAAAGCCGCCTAATTCTTTCATCAGTAAGGAAGAGATCAAAACTATTCAGGAGGCGGAGCTTGGCTTCATAGGCTTTATATTCTGTTTTCAAAGTTCGGAAAGGAATAATCTAGAAAACATAAATGTAAAAATACAAGAAGTCAAGAACCCAAATAAAGAAAAGACAACAGTTTTTAGTCAGATTTTAAAAAGTCCTAGCAACCATGCCTCTCACAGGTTAGTAAATGCACGGGTACCTAAAATGAATGGGCCAGGGAGTGTGCTATAAATGCTGGGGGACACTAGGACAAAGGATCCTAGCTAAAGATCCCGTGGGTAATAAAGACAAATATGCCAACAACTACAAAAGAGGGCAAGTTAGGGGCAGACAAAAGATGCTCTGTACGTACAAAAGAATGGCATAAGTAAGGAGTTTTTAAAATAGTCTCCAATACATAAAAGCTCCCGATGCACAAATTTAACTTTTAGGTCACAAATCTCAACAGCTCTTCCATCAGAGACAGGATGGAAAATATCCTACCCACACACTAAATTAGAAAAACACTATGAAATATAACACTGTATTACATATCACTTCATTTGAATTACATCTTTTAAATGACATGAAAAAAATTTTTTTCTTTTTTTTTTGAGAGACAGGGTCTCATTATGTAGTTGAGACTGCCCTGGAACTCAATGTAGCCCAGGCTGGTCTCAAACTCCAGTGATCCTCCTGCCTCAGCCTCCCAAGTGCTGGGATTACAGGTGTGCACCACCACACCCGGCTTCTAAATGATTTGAAAATATTAACCTGCTTCCTACCCGAGATATTGTTTTAATTCCATGCTTGTTCAAAAGCTTTTTATAGAAGCGTTCTGTCTGTTCAGTTGACTCGAGTTCATCCTTGGTAAATAAGCAGATTTCCGAAGAATCTGATCGAATATTATAAGGCAAGGACCTGTAAAATACACAAAAAGCATCAAGGCAGTGAAGCATTATTACAGGCAGATATGTTTATATCACTCAGAATATACAGTATATTTTACATATCAGTTATAACCAGCAATGTCAATGGCCTCAACTCACCAATCAAGAGAAACGGACTGGCAAAATGGAATAAGAAGAAAAATCCAACAATATGTTGTATACAAGAGACACACCTAGTGCAAAAAGAAGCCCATAGACTGAAAGTGAAAAGATAGGAAACAATTCTCCATGTGACAGGAGCCCAGAAAAAAACAGGGGTAGCAATTTTATTTGCAGACAAAGTAAAATCAAACCAAAACTGAATCTAGTATTATTGATGTAGGACGGTACTGTATCATACCTCTATGAATGTAAAATATCTAGTACCTGCTTTATGATACATAGTAGGGACTGTGCTTTATCAGAGCTACATTTAATGATATTACTCTAGAATGTTCTCTTTCCAGATGATGATTAAGAGGCTAATAGAAAAAATGGTGCCAGGTGCCACAACAGCAACAGAACTTTAATGTTTTATGGATATTATTCTTTACTTTGTTTTTTTGTTGTTGTCGTTTTGTTTTGTTTTTTTTAATGGAATGTGCTGAATGTCTATAATTTTGTTCAGATAACTGCAGAACCTGGAAAAGCTGTTGCTATTGATGCATAACATACTATTATTAGTCTTTTTATATAAATATATATATACATATATATATAAATTGAATCTTGGGAAACTTTAACGGTACTGCCAACTTTGGAAAAAGTCATCCCAATTTACTGTGTTGAGTTGGCATTGTACAGAAATGAACAGCCATATTGGTCTAGTAATGTTAATTTTAATTTTTATTTTTTTCCATGTGTACAGGGGTAACACATCGTACTAAATATGTAAGGTCATATCTACGTGGGTTTGATTACAGAAACTAATAAAGTATTCTCTAAATAATGAAAAAAAGAATAAGATAAGACTATAAGAGCAAGAAGCAATTTAAATATGTTCAGGGACCATTTTCATCTCCAGAATTAAGGATTATTTTAATGTTACATCATTGCCTTTTCTCTTTTACTTTCCTTTTTAATTTTAGGATTCCCTATTTTAATGTTCATACAAAGATTTCTTTAACTGAAATACCAAATAGTTTCTTTGGTGTGAAAAACTATAATAGTTCACAGGATCCTAATGAGATAATTAATAATATGAAATAGGAAGTAAAGGGCTAAAGGTGTAAGGACAGTGGGAAGGGTGGGGGAAGGGTAGTAAGGGAGAGGAAAAAAATATGAGAAACTGAAAAAATGGAAATAAAGTGTTTGTAAATGGGGAGGGGAGGAGGGGGCGAAGGGAGGGCAGGGACAAGAGGAAAAATGAGAATCAAGACCTTTTATGTAAAGGTACAGAATCCCAAGGATGAATGTAACTGTATTGTATACCTAGATTGTACCAATAAATTCAATAAAAAGAAAAAAGAATATACAGTATATTTACTGTTACATTAATAACCTTACTCATGCTATTTAAGTCAGTACAGCACTGAAAACATTTACAATATTATCTTCAAGATATAACAGGGGCCCACACTTGTAATCCCAGGCCGAGGCATCCAAGTTCTAGTTCAGCCTAGGGCACTTAGCAACACAGTGAGATTCTATCTCAAAATACAAAGTGTCAGCTGGGGATTGAGCTCAGTGGCACTGGGCCTGCCTTGCAAGCTTGAGGTCCTGAATCCAATCCCCAGTTCAAAAAACAAACAAAAAAAAGTGTTGGGGGGATGTAGCTTAGTGTGAAGGCCATGATTTCAATCTTTAGTATCCCCCCAATAAATCACCAAACCCCCCCCCAAACAAACAAACAAAAAAACCCTGTACAACAAAATATCAATTAATATTTGATAAAATAGGAGCTGGGAATTTAGTTCAGTGGTTCTGCACCTGCCTCATAAGCACAAGGACCTGAGTTCAATCCCCTGTAAGGAGAGGAAAAAAAAAGTACATAACAAGTTAAAATGTAACAAACAAACCCAAATAGCACATGTAATTATTATAATTGTTTTTTTGAGTTTTTTTGGCAGCACTGGGGGTTGAACTCAGGACCTTGCGATTGCGAGGCAGGTGAGGTGCCACGAGTTAAATCCCTAGCCCTGGTTTTTTTTCCCCCTATGGAAAGGAGTTCAATGTCAGGTTGAGTGTCTTTAAGGCGTGAGCTCGGGTCCTCAGGTACCTATTTTAGTTTGGTAACAGGTTTCACTAAAAAATAAAAGGTTCCTTTGGCCTCTCTAACACTAGGTTTTTGAAACAAGGCATGTGTCCCCAGAAAACTGGTGTAATTTCTGAAAATTTTTAACATGTCTAAGTTCCCATAGTTCTTTTAGCACGTTATTGTTTCGCCTAAATTTTTATTTTGAATTTGCAGTTTCCATTAGAATGTAAGGTACAACTGTTAAAGACACAATGAAGGAACAAGCACATAAGAATAACAAAGACAGAAAATAAGAACTTACAATCTGACTCTCAGTTCTTTTCCTGGAATTTTCCATAATATCACCATTAAAAACAAATTTTGATTTTCATTCAAAAGCAATCCATTTTTGTTCTTCCTGGATTTAGAATGCGTCAACAAAGCTTCCACTGCCTTTCTAATCTGGAAAATATGGATACACAAGTTAATTTTGTCGAAATAACTTAAACACCCTATATACAGTTCCCACTTCCACTGCCTATAGGAGGAAGCCTCTAATACCTACTTCTTAGGGTGGTGCAATTTATTATACTCAGGAAGCTAAGAATCCATCCACAATACTAAAAACCCGCTTCTGGCACTTGTCTACACAACTACACAAAGGCTCCTCTTCTCAAGATTGGGCCAGATGGAAAAAGCTTCTCCCAACCTCAATGAGCAGGCTGTAATCGCAGGAAAAGAGCACAACAGCAAGTAGCACCTACACAGTACTATGTACCAGGCTCCCGGCCACAGTGCTTCACATGCATTACCTCCTGCGATCCGGGAAAGAAGAGCCCATTTTATATGAGGGATAAAGACTTGCAAAGTTAAGAAACCTGGCTAAGACCAAAAGACAGCAAAGCAAAACCAGGTCGATCTCACCACAAAACCCCAGGTTATACTCGCAATCCAATTTAAGAGGACCAAAGTGCAAGTCTGAGTGAAGAAGGCGTCCATCGCGCGAATAAACAGGCGGCTATCTGAAGTGCAGGGCCAGCAAGAGACCCTACTAGGGGTTCCGGAGGCGTCCACAGAGGCCTGGAGTTCGCGGCCTCACTCGGCAACCCCGCTCCCACAACTATTTTCTCAGCGGCCACTCACCTGCTCTTTGTCCAGCTGCTCTAGGGAGGTCAGCTCTGCCGGAGTCGAGGTGGCGGCTAAAGCCGACTGTTTCGGGGAGGACGAATCCTCCATTTTGTTCCCACCTCGTGCAAAGTACCACGCCACCCCCGGAGCTTGTTTCCTGTGTGCAAGAATCAGCGAGGCCCGGAACCGGAAATCAAGGGGCAGGATCCTAGTCCCTTGCGTCATTTCCGGGAGGGCGCGCAGTTTGATTTCTCGGCTTCCCGAAGTAGGTCCTGGAAGGACGCTGGAGCACTTACTCGCTTAGATTTCAGTCAGTCTCTTCAGTGAGGTAGCAACGCTTCTTCCGTTCTGCTGCCTCGTTGCATGAGGCGCTGGACCGGTCGACACTTGTCGCTCTTACACGAAGGAAATCGAGAAATCAACTTGAGGCGGGAGAAGAACCAATCAGGCCACCCAGTGGTCTCCTGCTTTGCCTAGCCCGCGGGAAGAGCGCGGTGTCCCGACTCCGCCGGCCTCCTACAGGACGACTTTAGGTGACCCCTCCTCCCGGCTGGTGGGGATTCCCTGAAACAAGGAACAGGGACACCAGAGGCATCGTTATCCGGCGTGAGGCTTCCAAAGATGAACCAGAGCTTCTGGTCTCGCAGAAAGGCGGAAGGTAAGAGTCTGTGCTACGAGAGTGTGGAGGCTGGATCACAGACAGGTGCAGTAAGGTAGAACGTGTCCCTCCCGACCCACCAGAGGTAGCCACCGTACCACTGTATCTCCTGCAACTCTCCAGAAATGTTCTAGCCATTTAGTTTTTAGGAAGGACTTTTTTGTTTTGTTTTTTTTGGTGATGGGTGGAGAGTTTTTATTTTCTCCCGCAATCAATAGAGTAGTATATCCATTGTTCTGCACCTCTCATTTTCCCCATAATATACCGTTTAGGGAACGGGGGTTGGTACAGGGTCTCGCTGTATAGCCCTGGCTGGCCTCGAATGCGCTATGTAGCCTAGGCTGGCCTTGAACTCGCGGCGATCCTCCTGCCTTAGCCTCCTGAGGACTAGGATTACAGACATCAGCCACCACTTCCAGCAGTATACGGTATTTTGAAGACTGTTCTAAGTCTGTGCATGAATCTCTGCTTCATCTGTTTTAATGGCCAAATGTCACCACACCATGCAGCAACTTTACAGTTTGTTTAGCAACTTATTGGTAGACATTCAGAATGGTTCCAGTCGTTTTGCAGCTAGCTATGTAAAGTTTTTGGAGGTTGAAGAATGGGAGATGGCTTTCCATTTCAGTTAAAGTGCTCTTTACACGAGGATGTTCTGCCGCTAATTTCTAATAAGCCACCATATCCGCCCCTCCCTTGTACGGAGAATCGGAACTCAGGACCTGGCACTGGCCAGGCAGGTGCCCGCGCCAGTGAGCTACATCCTCGGCCCTCTGCCCTTTTTTTTTTTCTTTCTCTCATTGAGTTTATTGGTACAATTTAGGTATACAGTACAGTTACATTCATCATTGGGATCTTGTACCTTTACATGACAGGTCTTGGTCCACCTTGTTTTTTAATCAACTTGTAAGAAATGTTTTTTAAATGGTGGTAACCTGTTTCCACTCGTCTATTCTAGAATCTAATATAAGATGAAATTAGTTTTAGCACAGTGTTAGGAATTGTTCCATTGGGCTTTATGTATCAACATCTTGGAGTATTCTGATGAGATTCGGAGCTGTCAGATGTTCTGTGCCTGAATTCAAGTTTGAAAACCAAACTGCCAAGGAAATGCCATGAATTCAGATGAAAGCTTGTGTTTGGAAACAAGTTGGTGGAGGAGGGATGTACAAAGGGAAGGAATGTGAAATGACGCTGGCTATGTAGGTTAAGGAATTAGTTATCAAGTTGGTGGTTTATACTTATTTTGGGGAAATTGTAAAGATACAGGTTTTTTTGTGGTGGTGGTTTTTGTTTTTTGAGACAAAGTCTTGCTGTGTAGTTCAGGCTGGCCTTGAACTCATTATGTTGCCCATCCTGGCATCTAACGCAAGGCAATCCTCCTGCCTCAGTCTTCTGAGTGCTGGAATTACAGGTAGGTGTCACTGCGCTGGTTTAAGATTCAGAGTTTTGAACTTTTTGACAGGGGAGAAAGGAAGATAGTGATGGCTTAAGCTTTAGGAAAGTTAATTAAATCTAATTGTGGTGTTAAGGAATATCCTGTCTTCACAAATTCATTAATACTTGTTACCTCAAGTGATAAAGATTCTATCGTTAAGTGTGGGCTAGATTTAGTAAGTTACTTCTATCAAATATAGTGTTGCAGAGGCAATAGGAGGTCTTTTCTGAGATTAGACTGATTTCCACCTTGGGTTTTATTTTTCACTCCCTATTTCTCTTCCTCATGTACTCTTTACTTATCACTTGAGAGGCAGCCATGGAGAGAGGGAAGCCATGCTTAGACAGCCTGCCTGCAACCACATAAGTGAGCTATTATTTTAAGCCATTAAACTGAGGTAATTTGTTATCCATTAAATGTTAATTAATAGTGTTGGTGGTGTAGTTCAGTGGTAGAACACTTGCCTAGCATGCATGAGACCCTGGGTTCACGCGCACAATATTTGTAGACCTCCTCTCTTCAAACCCATCCAAGTATTAACTTGTCTTCACTTAGAAATTCTATCAGGACTTCGACTCATCAAGTCCCAACATGAACACATTGTCTTCCCCCAGACTTCTCTCATGTTTTCTTTCTCCGTGATTGCTACCATTAAGCCAAATATAGGAGTCACCCTTCTTTCCTCCTTTATCTGCCAAATATGGTCAAAATAAGTCTTGCTTATTTCTTTTATATATCTCTTGTATTTATCCATTGTATTTTTTTATTTTTATTTTTTGGTACTGGGGATTGAACTTGGGTCCTTGTGCTTGCGATGCAGGAGGCAGAACTGCTGTGCTAAATCCCCGGCCCTTTATCCAGTTCTTTTAATCCTGCTATATTATACTACAGGCCATCATCATCATCATCATTATAATTATTTGGCCTAGGTTATTGTAATAGGCTTCTAACTTGTCCTCCCACCTCCACTTTGTATCTTATAGTCCATTCTGAAGTGATCTGTGTGAAATGCAAACCTGATCATATCAAACCTGATCATGTTTAACCACCTTCATTGGATTATCATGTCATTTGGATAAGGTGTATAGTCTTAATTTGCCTTATATACATATCCCAGTTTGAATTTGGTGTCATCTGACCTAATTTAGCATTTGTCTTGGAAAAAAAGGATCCTAATTTGAAAAATAAATCCTGTGATCTCCTTTAAAAGGTTAGGTACTTTGATCTCCTTTTCACCTATCTTCACACCCTGCCATTCACCCTTCAGTCTTTAGGTCCTAATTTCAGCTGTGAAGTTTCTACTTGTCTTTGAATGGTCCAGCATGTTGATGCTTCTTCCTGGAACACTACCATCTTCCTGCACCATCCTCCATTATATACACCATAAACAGGAACTACACCATATACAGAATTACTCCTGCTTCCTGCTTCATATTACTTCTAGAAAATTCTGGCTTAGGTTCTTCTGTTCTCTATTCCAAAATATTTATAGTTTTTCTACCATAATTTCTCCCATATTTGAGGATAAGCTCTGAGAGGGTAAGGGAGAGCCACTTAATGGTAGGCAAACTATAAATGATATTTTCATCATTGTATCTTCAGCATCTAGACCATATATGATATAGTATTTCTTTAGGGAATAAATAATGTATTAGATTGGCCTGAGTCAGGGCTTAGGGAGAGGAGTGTAGGAAACTATTGTGGTTTTCTAGGTGTTGAGCCTGATAATAGGGTGATAGCACTGCAGACAAAGTATGTATGGGACATGGATATACAGGGAGAGAAATTCATTGGCTCTAAATCCTTAAGCCTGAATAATTGGACAGATGGGTGGTGTTATTGATACGTGGGAAGCAAAGAGGAGTGGCAGAGGCAAAGATAGATATTTTTCAATAGTTTGGGTTTAAAGGTTCAGTGATATATCTAATTGGTTCTAGAATGTGAGAGAGCATTCCTGAACTAAATAAATTTAGAAATCATCTTCATGGGGATAGTTAGAGGCAGAAATAGATGAGATTGCAGAAGTAGGGCTCAGTAGAGGCTATGGAAGCCAAGTGCAGTGGCACATGTCTTTAATCCAGTATTTTGGGAGGCTCAGGCAGGAGGACTGCAATTTCAAGTCCTGCCTGAGTAATCTCCAAATAAAAAATAAAAGGACTGGGGATATGGCTCAAGAGACAGAGAGAAGAAGGGGGGTGGGGCAGAGACAGGGTGCCATGTTTTACAAATCACGAAGCAGTGAATATATTTGATGATTTGTTAACACTATCAAATACTGAAGAAGTGAAGTAGAATACAGATGAAAGGCCTTTTTAAGGGAGTATTTAGGTCCAGTTGACCTTATAGGAAGTAATTTCAAGGGCCGGGGACTTAGTTCAGTGGCACTTTGCCTGCCTCAAAAGCACAAGGTTTTTTGTTGTTTTGGGGTGGAGTGGGTTTTTGAGACAATGCCTCACTATGTAGTTGAGACTGTCCTGGAACTCACTGTGTAGCCCAGGTTGGTTTCAAACTCACAGTGATCCTCCTGCCTCAGCCTCCCAAGTGCTGGGATTACAGGCGTGTGTCACCACACCGGCCAAAAGCACAAGATTTTGAGTTTGATCTCTGGTACTGCAAAAAAAAAAAATAATAATTTCAGTGAATGGATTATGAGGAATGTGAGAAATGGAACAACAATTGATTTATGGTATATTTTAAATTTTTTATCACTAAGGCAAGTGAACTGACTGATAATATTTGTTCCAGAGAATTTATTTTACTAGCTCTTTTTGACATCCCAAATAACATATAATAACACTCATTATTATGTATAGCATTTTAAAATTACTTGTTAGCAGTTTTGGTTTGCCCACAAATTGACCAAGGTAGTGCCTTCATTTTAAATTCACAGGTACACAATTTGTGTGTGTGGTGCCTACCACGAGTAGTTACAACCTACAAGGTGTAAAGCAGGATGTGATAAATACTGTGTAAATGGTACAGGTGCACACGTGAACTTAGAAAGATGACTTAAAAACAGAATAGCCAGGTGTACTGTAGTCCCAGCTACTTGAGGCAGAGACAGGAATTGCTTGAGCCCAGTTCCCCTGCCTGGGCAAAATAGAGCCTATCTAGTGAGAAAAAATGAAATAAAACCTCCAAAGCCAAACCTAAAAGAGTAACAATAATAGTAGAAAAGTTTTTCTCCTTGATATGATAATAACTGTTGATGACTTCATTTCCTCTGCTGGATTTGTGTTGAGGGGCAGGACTGACCACACAGGGTCTGCCTAGAGCAGTGAGCAAATAGTGAGTGCTGAAAGTCTCAGTGAATTCTTCCTGCCTTCTTAGGGCCTTATGCACTTTCTTCCTCTTACTCTCTTTTGGTAGATGTCTTTCTACTTCACATGTACTCTTTTTGAGAGACATGCTGCTTTCCCACCTTCCCTCCATTTATTGATCTGTGGTACTAGGAATGAGACCCAGGACCTCACCCTTGATCTACACCCGCATCCCCCTCTTTTTTTGTTTTGGTACTGGGGATCGAACTCAGGACCTCGCACTTGTGAGGCAGGCAGTGGCA